TCGCGATGGCTAGGACTCGCAATAGAGATGGTGATGGCGGTAGACTATTGAAATATCCGAAAGCTTAGGCGAGTGTTATCCGTTATTTCTCGATAGTACTTGGGGTGTCTAATGTGCTACTAGTAACTTTTCCTAACTGGTTCTTTCTCTGCTAGGAGTGATATTGTATGATACCTACCTACCACGAAACTTAAAAGGTAACTTATCGCTTAGTCCATCGGGTGCTGCGCCCTCAGGCTTAATGAATATGTTCCAGGATAAACCGTGGAGAAGCTGGGTCCAAGAGCTCTAATGAAGAAACTTGCAGGATCGGGAAAGCCCGCCTTTGCTGGAAATACTTGGTTAGAATTTCGAACTGTGTCCTTTTACGCCGATATCTTGGACGCTCTAACGGACTAATCTTAGGATCTAGTTGCAGTATCATACCTACTATCCATATCCCCATCCGGCTTTACGCTCTTCGAGATAGTTTGTTCCCCTTTCCCTTTTACTATGTATCCCTCTAGAATGACGAGCCCAAGCTTGGATGAGACGGGTGGGGCGGGAACCATCTCCTAAGTGTCTAGGGTGCCCTTATACTAATCACTAGATGGAGATACAGTCATTACTCAAGTGATGCCTCCTTCGACGGTCCAGTGAATCCAAGAGGTCACTGATGTGAACACCAGAAAAAGTCCAAAGACCAATTCCCCGTCTTATTAAAGGCATGATTACATTGACATTGATCACCTCTTAAAGTTGTCCAACGGCATTACCGATTGCAGCGTTCGGGCATTGAGTCCGACAGCTTCACGTCGGAAATCGCTGTGGGGGGGGCATTCGGGGGGTATAATGAGGTAAGAGTGACGAGCTGTGATGGGCTGGGGAGGAAAGCAATATTATTGGGTTGGCGGGTATGGTGAAGCATAGTTAAACTATCTAGGACACTTTGTCGTCGAGTGGTAGTAGATTATCAGGACAAATTGACTCACTCACTCACCAACGGGAATGAGAAGGCGGATGTCCTTGTTACTGTTGTTAAGAATCTGCACGGGGGGTCTGAGTTTCGAGGGAATTCTCGCGGCGAGTTGGATGGATTGTGGTGCTATGTCTTGACTGTTGGGTCACCCGGATTGCGATGCACCCCCGGTTACAATCTTTTGAGTTTGTGCGGGATTCTCGCGTTTCCTACCAGCTCAGTGCTTGGCCCATCAATTATATCGAATGCTATCCTAGGAAAAGAGGAAGGAAACTAGAAATAGAATGGATGTACTGTAGGAGGGGTGAAAAGATGGGGGGGTGTCCGTGTTGGGGGAACAGATAATTGGCACACGGAGGGAAGGACAAGAAAAGAAAATTTGAAGCAGAAAAATTTCAACCAGGAATTACACAAACTACTCGGTATTTCATCTCGCATTCTTATTAGCGTATATCATATACATCTGCATCGTAATGTTAAAACATCTCTTGAGGCTTAGCCTCGGCCTCCATTACACGGCCCCGGATTGGTTGGCATATCCCAGCATTGTATACCTGCCACATAGCCAGCAACCTGACGCTGTCACCACCACTGGCGGTATGGACCCTAGTGTTGATCTTTCGGCAAGGAAGAAAGAGCACAACGCCGCTCCCGTGCTGGCCGTAAGCAGCCCTGTGCATGCCGAACCTCCTATCACTCAGCATCCACAATACGGCTTCACCGTGACTGTACGCGGCAGCGATGAGCAGAGGTGTGTGGGCCAGGCCATCAGGGATGTTCGCGTTGAGGATGCCATACTCCCGCCGTGCAAGGGAGCTAGAACACGCAGCTTCGATATCTAGGCGCAGAGGAGTACCAGTAGTCTTTCTTGCTCATGCCTTGTCCGTCACCATCATATGGATGGCCTCGGAGTAGCCTTGCCTCACTGCTATCATGTGTTTTTGGTCCCTGCGGGTTCTTGGCCTAGCCCCATTGGGCGGAGGTTGCACGCCACAATCTTGGATTCCTTCTCTATCACTCCGTGGAGGGCTCGGCCCTTCCCGGTGATGCCCAGGGTGTTGTGGTGGAGTAGGCGGTGAATTGGTTCGTCCTTGCAGTGGGCGAGTGTGTTGAGGGTGTTTTGGGCGAAGTCCGGATAATCCTTGTCCGCAGCGCTGTCTAGGTGTGTGGTGTTGAGGAAGGCAGGAAGGATGCGGGTTATCCGGCGTAGCGAGTTAATATCTCCGGGAAGGTTTTCCTCAATCTTCGGACCATAATTTCTTGTGGTAATGATTCCACTGATATCTGAGGTTGAGAGGAGGGGTTAATAGCAAAGTAAGTTCTGGGGGGTGGGGACGGCTCAAAATGATTAAGTGGGACAGAAGGAATATATCAACCTAAGAGCGATTGGATTGAGGGGTGAACTTTCTGCTGAATTGGAGAGAGCTCGTTTGTCGGCGAAATGCCGTGCCTCGAAAACCAGGCGGGAACCACCCCCACCCCACCAAACATCCTCAGAATAAACTAACCCTCCAAGAGAACGCAGCATACCCAGCGGATCTAAAGCTCGCTTTGGACGCAATTGGACAATTTCACCTTGGCAATAACGCTGGGCGGGCTCTACTTTTACCCGCCGGTGGGAAAACTCCTATTTACGATAGGGAGCCGTGTGGAATAGCTATTACAAGTATAGTACTCGAGTACGTCGATCCGGGTTGTGCTTGTTGGTAGGCCCAAATCTGAGACAGGGCAGGATAGGGGGGATCTCCTAAAGCGTATGAGGTGAGTCGAGGTGGAATGCTTTGGTGGGATGAACATGTTGCGATGCTGTATGTACTATACTCGTACTGGTTGGCGTACGTTGCTGGTGGTCGTGGACATACTCGAGTAGATTTTTGGCTCGCTCAATTGGTCTACCGTATTCAACTAGGGATAGTAGTAGCAGCTATGACGTCGGTACTCGAGCACGTTCGGCCTTGGAGGGGAATGGGTATGAGTGGGTGGATTTAGCATGTAGACTATATCCTCCTAGAGTTATGAGAGCAGCGCTGACACACTCCAGGGTCTGAAATTTCGGGGACCGGAGGAGTATTTTTTCCCCATATTGCAAGCTATATGTGGAGTTGCGTACACTAAGCACACGTCTATGCAAAATCGTACGGTAACAAACGAGGCGGGTACCGTGCTGGCTATCAGTCTCGCGCGCCGTGACCGCTATTAGGCTAGGTCTTGCATTTTTAGGTGCCAATATTGGATAAGCCATACGATGGTAATCTTGATACACCTAAGAGATTTCCCAGCAATCCGCGCCCAATTCCATGTGTCCTGCCTGAGACTAACGATCTCTTATCCCCCCCAAAACCTGCTTTCCTTTCACCTCTCGCTCTCGTGTTCTAGACCCACGATAACCACGGCCTGTAGGAGAAAAGTTACTGCAATCCCAAGGGACGCTAGGCCCAAATCATCTGCGCTGGCTGATACTCAAGTAGTGGTTGAACAGGCAATATTGCGGTGGGTCGGGATGCGGAAAGATCTGCAGCCTACGCTCGGATCCTGGGGGTTTCTGCATGTGGACGCGTAGGATTTGAATCCGGAATACAGCATGGATAGACCAAAGTTCCTGTAAACCCAAAAGTTAGCGTATAGATTCTTGATTCAGTGGGAATAATCCCCTGATCCGGACCAACAATGCCCAAGTTCATACCTAACGGCCAACTACCATAGCGGCCGAGAACCTGTAGGCGCTGGCAGCGATTATCCCAAGCGGCTGACGTCAAACCGGCGATTGGATGGGTCGAATGCTACCCGAGTGACTCCATTAAATTGCAGGATTTTATGCGGCCGTTCCCAGCTCCATTTTCCGCTACCGGTCATGCAGAAACAAGCAGACGTTTGGGACGGTGAGGACGCTCCCTCACGTACAAATCAAAAATGACATTAATGCCCAAAGTGAGGGTGTGGTCGTGCAAGGAATCAGGATGAAGCCACCCATGAATTTTCGTTCATGCACAGGTTGGTTTTCCCAGATTGAGATATGGTACTAATGGGGTGCGGGGATCGGGAGAGAATTCCGAGATTTGTCTTAAATCTAGTTAGGCACGAAAAGGGAACGGGGCGTAGAGTAGCAGTGGAACTGAGACAATAGTAATCTCAGCCCTATTGTGGAGTACCGGTGATCGACTGGCGATGAGGATGAGACGGGAATCAGGGACAGTGGCTATGATGGGGTGGAGAGAACCCTTTACATTGACATTGAAGGACTCAGATTGGAGGGGGGGGGCAGGGTCGGCACTGTTAGGGTGACTTTTGAATTGGAGCACGGTAGAGACTTGGTTTGAACTTCGGGTAGAGTATTATGCTGCACCTAACAACCTCGAATAGAAACATTGGTTTCCCCGATCGCATGGCGGGGGGGTTGGGGGGCACTGGTATCGCCGGGTTGCTGCCGGGAGGAAGGGCTAGCCAAAATCACGTCAATCCGGCGGAATTGGGGACGAATGGGAATCTATGGCGCCTGGCTCCGTGATTAGAATTAAAGTCTATGAGCAGAGTGTGGTAGGGTGAACTGGGGAGGGGCGCTGTAGCCTGCCGTATGAGAGAGAGAAAGTGAGTGAGAGAGAGAGAGAGAGAATCGTGCGAAGAATAGGGGTAGAAAGAGGGGCGGGGGAGAGGTGGGGGAATTGCGATTGATGGACTCTCCTTCCGAGCGTAGAGAGAGTGAATTCCGAGAGTAGGTACAGTATGGGGAGCCCAAGGTTCGCTGCCACAGCACTGTTTATCCGGTGTCGCATATTACTGGAACGATAGGGTTCGCATCTTTGTCATCGCAACTGGTGTCAGCTCTTGTGGGTGGACCGCGTGATATGGGGAAAATTATTCATGATGGTAGGCTGGATTTGGGGGTTCTACAAGGAAGCTCGGAACTCTTGGGCCGCAGCTGACTAAACATGAGGAAAAAAAGGGTTGGCGATTTGGCAGAGTGCCCTTGTCCCGGAAAATTCCTTGCCTAGCCGTCTTTGTATCATAACACCCGTGCAGAGCCGCAAAGCCCAACCTCGACAACGCCCCTCCTAGGACAAAACAACTACCCACCAATAGTGGGCCCTCCCCGCCAATCTCGATCGAAAAATCGCCAAACAATGACAAGCTTCAAGAGGTCCTTTGGGGACTCTCATGGATCCTCGGAGCTATCTTCCAAGGTCTTCCTTAGATCTTCGAAAGGAAAATGCACAAAGATTGTTCGAGAACTCTACCTCCGTCGCGATATCCCTTGTTCGTCAAAAATCTGCACTCGCTGTCTGGCCGACATCAAAGGAGATTCCTACGGGCGCACAAAACCGTTCGTTCTTTCCTCTAATGCTCCGGTTAACGATACTATCAAAGTGCCTCACTACATTGTCCCCGACACAAACGTATTCCTTCGCTGCATGGACGTTTTGGACCACGCGGCGATTACGGATGTCATCGTTCTTCAAACGGTGCTGGATGAGGTACGGGCAAGATCGCTGCCACTGTATAACCGCTTGAGGGCACTCGTGGCATCAGGGGAGAAGAGATTTTACGTTTTTCACAACGAGTTTAGATCTGAGACCTATGTGCGGCGGGAGCCGGGGGAGACTATCAATGATCGGAATGATCGTGCGGTTAGGCGTGGAGTCCAGTGGTATCATGAGCACTTGAAGGAAGTCGCCAGGGATAGTGGAAAGAGCATTGCTGTTGTCATGGTTAGTAATGACAAGGGAAATCTTGAGAAAGGCAAGAGGGTGGGAGTAACTTGTTGTAATAGTGCGTATTATGTCTTAAATGTTAAGGAGGGGGACTAACTGGAGGCAGTCAAGGATTATGTCTCTGGTATGAAGAACTCGGACGAGCTTCTTGACATGATCAGTGCTGCGCTTGAGGATGAGAATGCTAAGGCTGCTAAGGGCGACATGCTTTATCCGGAGGTGAGAATTCCATCATGAAGGTTGTGATAGTTCACTAACAAGAGTAGTACTATTCCATGTCCAAGATGATGACCGGCGTCAAGGCCGGTACTCTTCACCAAGGGAAGTTCAGTATCAGTCCTTACAACTTCCTCGAAGGTTCCGTACATGTGCCATCGTTTGACAGGCCGCTCCTAATACTAGGCCGTGAGAACATCAATCGCTCTGTTCATGGGGATCAAGTTGTTGTTCGTGTCTTACCCAGGGACCAATGGAAACACCCATCTAGCAAGATCATTGAGGAAGAAACCATGACCAAAAACGACAACCCGGAGGTTGAGCAATTCGAGGCTATCGAGACTGAGCAGGAACGAAAAGCGCTCATCGATGAAGCGAAGCTGTCACAAGGCGCCATCGGTGAAGGAAAGCCCCAACCAACTGCGCGGGTTGTTGGCGTCATTAAACGGAATTGGAGGTACTACGTTGGGCATTTAGATCCTTCTTCCGCACCTTCCGTAGGCGGGAGATCTCAGAGAAACGTATTCCTTATTCCCATGGACAAAAAGATCCCGAAAATCCGACTTAGGACTAGGCAAGCGTCCGAATTGTTTGGCAAGAGGATTGTGGTTTCTATCGATGCTTGGGACAGAACTTCCAGATACCCTTCTGGTCATTTCGTCAGGTCACTAGGAGCGGTAGAGACTAAAGAGGCAGAGACTGAAGCTTTGTTACTGGAATGGGATGTTCAGTATCGGCCGTTTCCGAAGTCGGTGTTGGATTGTTTGCCAAAAGAGGGACACGAGTGGAGGATTCCACAAGACCCAGAGGATCCCAGACTGCACCAGAGGGTGGACTACCGTGGGCTTTTGGTTTGTAGTATTGACCCGCTGGGCTGTCAAGATATCGACGATGCTCTTCATGCGAGTCGTATGCCAAATGGAAACTATGAGGTCGGCGTACACATTGCGGATGTCACACATTTTGTCAAGCCCAACACTGCTATGGACGACGAAGCCTCGGTGAGAGGAACCACGGTCTACCTTGTTGACAAACGTATCGACATGTTACCAATGCTCCTCGGCACGGACCTGTGCTCGCTAAAGCCGTATGTTGAGAGATTCGCTTTCTCTGTCGTCTGGGAGATTACGGAAAATGGCGATATTGTCGGCACCAAATTCTCCAAATCGATGATCAAGTCTCGTGAGGCATTTAGCTACGAACAAGCACAGCTACGCATTGACGACAAGAATCAGAACGACGAGCTCACACAGGGAATGAGGACTCTGCTCATGCTTTCTAAGAGGCTGCGGCAGAAGCGTATGGACGCTGGAGCTTTGAATCTGGCTAGTCCGGAGGTTAAAATTGAGTCTGAATCGGAAACTTCGGACCCTATCGACGTCAAGACGAAGGAGATGCTCGAAACAAATTCTTTAGTTGAGGAATTTATGCTGTTGGCGAACATCAGTGTCGCGGAGAAGATTTATGAAGCTTTCCCGCAAACTGCTATGCTAAGGTTTGCCCCCTTCCATATTCTCCCTCTGTATACCCCTGTGCTAGACCGAGGCTAACAAACAACCTAGACGCCACGGCGCCCCACCAGCCTCCAATTTTGAAGAGCTCCAAAACCAGTTAAGAGTAACTCGGGGCCTGACCCTGCTCACAGATAGTTCCAAAGCGCTTGCAGACTCACTCGACCGATGCGTCGACCCTTCCAATCCCTTCTTCAACACGCTCGTGCGCATCCTGGCAACGCGGTGCATGGTCTCAGCCGAATACTTTTGTTCTGGCACCCAAGGCTACCCCGAATACCGGCATTACGGTCTCGCGAGTGAGATCTACACCCACTTCACATCCCCCATACGCCGGTACGCGGATGTCGTTGCGCACCGCCAGCTTGCAGCTGCGATCGGCTACGAGCCGTTACATCCGACGCTGCACTCAAAAGACAAGCTGGAGGGCATATGCAGCAACATCAATAACCGACATCGCAACGCGCAGATGGCCGGGAGGGCCAGCGTTGAGTATTACGTTGGACAGGCACTGCGCGGTAAGGTTATTGAAGAGCAGGGCTACCTGATGAGGATCTTCTCGAACGGATTTGTGGTGTTTGTCCCCAGGTTTGGAGTCGAGGGACTGATCCGCGTGAAGGATCTGGCGCCCGTCGAGCCAAAATCCGAGTTTGATGCTGAGAATTATAGGCTCACAGTTGAGGGGTCGACTGGGAGTTGGTCTGTTGCATTATTTGATCGGGTTGTGGTTAAGGTTATGGATGATGTGGAGGAGCGCACAGGAAAGCGGAAGATCAAGATGACGCTTGTGAGTGTCGAGGGTCGGAAGCTTGAGTGAACGAAGGGGTTATGATCAAAAAGGATTGTTGTTGGTAGTTATAATACGATTACTACTAGAAACTTGCCTGATTGAAGCCTCTCTACAGTGAAAGCACAAGCACGAATCTCCGGCATTCACCATGGTGGGATGTGATAGCACCCTCACTTTTAACTTCAAAACAGGGCTTTGTCTGATCTCCCCAGTTCAAAAGCATGTTTTAATTCTCCCTCCATTGTTTCCTGATCCAATCGTCTGTGCCTTTCATTGCCATATTGTTTTGAGTCACTAGCAGCAGGTTTGATCATATTATATAGCATGAGGTATGCAGACTCCTGTACACCTTACTGGTAGTTCGAATGATGCCGCAGGAGGTACTGCGGATGAGGTCTGCATAGGTCAAAGTGCAACAGTCTTGCATCTCAGAGGCTCTTTACAGTTCTGGAAAAGGTGGGTGCAATATCGAATGCACCTCGCTATTTCGGTTTCCATAGCGATTAAAAGGCTATCTGTAGAATTTCTCTATACCCCCGATACAAGCGGAAGCGCGGCCGCTAATTTCCCACAGGTTATGGGGCACATGGCTAAGCCCGGGTAGCCACAAGGCACTAGGATATTAGAGCCTTTATCTGTCAAACCATATGATACTTGTAATAGTTTGGAAATTATGGAGCACAGAGTAGGGGGAAAGGTATGGAAGCTAAGAAAGAACCTTTGGCGCCCGCATTGGACCATGGTAGATTCCCAACCCTCAGCTTATATTTATTCAGTTCACGAGTGATTAGGTGACTTGGAGATGCTGGGTACGACATGAAGGCTCTCATGGGCCATAAAGTGAGGTGGATCCCCCCCCCTTCACCAAGTTCTATCTTCCTACATACAACTTCTCGGGCAGAAAAAACACCCCCAACAACACTCAATGGAGGCCGCACAGACGAACTTGACGAACGCGGGCCAGGATTTGCATGTGGTTCCAGATGGGATCACCCCGGATCCTACCACAGTATTTCTGTAATTCAACAGATGATCGAATGGCTTAGAGAATTTCGGGATGATATTCGGAATGACGTTTGGAATGATTATTCGCGCATTTCGAGCTGAGGTTCGTGAATCTCGGGCTGAAGTTGATGAAGATCCAACTGGTGTTCGTGCAGTTCGAACTGGGATGAAAAAGTTGGGAAAGAATCTTGGAAAATCTTGAAGGCGGAGTTCAAACTCTCACCAAGCATCATGATTTGTATGATTTCTTAAAAATCGCTTGAAGCTTATTGGTTCTGAATACCTCTGCGTTTATGCAACTGTGGTCTAGAGCAGACGAGACATCCCCCCGATCAGATTCCCACCGGGTGTTGAAGGAATAGTTCGTCCGGTGACTAAGTCCGGTTTTGATAGTTACACAGGTAATGTGCCCTATCCAAGAGATATACCGGTACTCATCTGTGAATATCAGGAAATACACTATGTAGTGCATCTAGAAACAAGCTATCTGGAATTGATTGAGCAGCTCGGACTGCAGCGGGCGCCGAATGGCAGCCAGGATGGGGCCTTGCTCAGGAGACGGATTGCCGATTATCTTGGATTCATCATTTGATACTCGTAGAGAATCCTTTTTTTGTGTTGATAGTGCTATCCGGAACAGGGCTAGCGCTATAGATCAGCGGTTGGTCGGTTGTGCGGGCAAGTGTGGTAGTCTGGTGAAAGTGAAGGCAGTTTCTGCGGCCCAGGGAGCCATAAATTTAAGTAGTGTGCAGAACCTGTATACATTGTATAGGGCGGTAAAAGCTAGTTCTCCTATTTACTCTATTTTTTTTTCTTCTTCCTAAAATTAGTAATACATCTGAAAATGCAGTATGGTACTCTGTATAACCTTTTATATCTTTTCGCTTTTTTTCCCCCCAACCGTCACCGTCATCACTCTTGACCAATTCCCATTTCGTAAAGAAGCGATCAATAGGATTTAAAAGATGAGAAAATACCGGTATTAGATAGTTTCCACATGGGAGTTTTCTCTAAATTCCTTCCTGTTAACCGTTGCAGCCTGCTCCTTGTCGGATCTGGAGGGGTGTAGAGGGTCGATTTCGGATGCCCGGGAAATTTTTAAAGAAGCACGGTCCGACATGTTGATGGCCTGAGGATGGATTATCAAGACCAATCACGTGGACGGATTTGGTGATGCTGCTGATGTGATCTCTGCCGTGTATATGTACGAGTAGACCCCCTGGCTATGGAGGTGTGATACGGACCTGAAGGGATAGGATAGAGAAAATAGTGGGGTGATGCGAATTCTCTACCAAAATTGTGGCTTGTTCAGGACCGCCGCTAACTATCAGAGTAAATGGTATTTAAAATTTCGAGCTATCATCCGCGTAGGTTTTTAGAATTTCCTATCGTACGAATCCCCACGCATAATATTGGAGTCAGAGTTCCTTCACTAATACCATACTCCAAACAATAAAAATGGGGGTTTTTTTGCCACTAGTGAACTTTGTTAACATTGTGCTTTTCTGGCTATAGCTTAACTGCCCCCCCCTCCGAGACCTTGGGGCATGTTTACCTCTGGCTCGTAATTTATCTTGCAAAGCTATTTATATGACGGAACTATAGCAATAGATCTGACAACGTCATGTATTAATAATACATATTAGGTAGGTGTGGGTATGGATATTTCTACATAATCTATAACCACAACTTTTCTTCAGTCGAGCTAAGACTGTATCTCGAATAGCCTAACCTTCCCAGCTTCATTCCCGATAGCTACGATTCCCGTCTCCTTCCCTGCCCAACTTACCGCCGTGACTCTGCCCAGGGGAGTCCCAGACGTGGGCCAATTCTGGTAAACCGCACAACTAGGCAAATGCACTGAAAACAAGTGAACGCCATTCATTAGCTAGCCAACCATATAAAGAGGGGGGAAAGTAAACACACCCATCCTCAAAGCGTCCTTCTTTCCTTTACTCGCAATTGCAAGGACCTGGCAGTCGGGCGAGAACTCGATAACGCTGATGGCAGTGACCAATTGCTCGAGTACCCTTATCGGCTTTGGATTTTCCTTCGTTCCGTCGGCGAGGGCATTCCCACCGCCACCGAAGCTCCTATCGCGATCGTATATATTTACGATCCCGCTCTGACTGCCGATGGCGATCCACCTGGCCCCACCGTTCTTGAGGACAGTGGTCGCATGTCCGCCCTCGTCTTTCCAGCGTGCGACTACTTTTTCCGAGAGCACGTCGAATTCCCATACCCCGCCTGCTTTATTCCCTATTGTGAGGCCGTGACTGTCGCCCCACCAGGACAAGTCTGCAACCCGGCCTTCGATTTTGGCAGCGCAGACCCACTGGTATGTTGTCGCGTTCAGGACGTTGACGAATCCGCGACTAGCAGCGAGAGCCATAAATTTTCCGTCTGGGGAGATGCGGAAGGTCTCCATTGACCTCTGCACCTCCGCGTGACCGTATATCCGGGTTACTTTTTGGATAGTTCCTGACGAGAGGTTCCAGATGTGGAAGTATTTTCGCCTGCCGGCGGCGATTATGCTTGCGCCGGAGGGGTGGAAGTGGGCTGTTAAGATGGGGGTATTGCGTAGGTGTAGGGATGTGGCAGGGGGATTTGTGGTACCGTTTATGTGGTGAAGGCGGAGGGTTGAGTCGGGGCCTGAGGAAAGGAGAAGGGGGTGGTGGGGGTGGAAGTGGAGGGTTGATATCATTGACTGGCAACTTGTTAATTACTTGATGTAGAGGAGAGAAGGAGAGCAGGAGGTATACCAAACTACCGCCAGTCCTATTCCCGTCTGCCAACCTCACTACGGTCAACTTCTCCGGCCGTAACCTCCCTGGAACCTTACGTGTCCAGTTCGTAGTACTCCTTAGAATTTCCTCAAGACTGGGCGCAGACCTCACCGCCTCCTGATCCCCACCTTCCTCCTCCACTCCCGGCCCACCCATGTCTTCATCACTACTCCCCACACCTGCACCGCCCAATCCCACCCTATTCCTATCCGAACCGCTAACGGCCCACTTGGGCACCGGATAAATTCTTTCAAACTGCCTGCGCAGCCGCGCAGAATACTCCTTCCCACTAATGAGGTCTTCAGTCTCAGTGTCCCGAAGCTTACGCAGCAAGCCCCGATTGGCAAGTGAGATAGTGAGCATTTCATCATCGGAGTCTTGCCATGCCGGGAGATCTTGTGCTTCTTCTTCTTCTTCTTCTTCTAAAGAGCGAAGACCAGAGCCCTGAATATCCCTGGCGGTGATCGCAGCGGCACCGGAGGGTCCCTCGTCGACAAAGAATAACTCATCGTCTTGCAGCGCTTGTAAGTCTACTCCCGCACCCTCATCTCCGTCTCCGACAATCCCTCCTTCGCCGTGGTCATCGGAAGATTCGCCGCCGTCAGCTTCGTTCAACCCATCTTCGAAACCTTCTGCGTCGCCGAAAATTAACTTTTCGAGGAACTCCTCTTCGGCATCCTTCTCTTGAATGGATACCCGGTTATTTGTTCTTTCTGAGGGCGCTGGCTCCGCGAGGACTAGGGAGGTGGATTTCGAGGGGCCGGCTTTCGGGCGGGATTTTTTACCCATTTTTGGCCCTTTTGCCGCCGTTGGGAGGAAGATAATTGTTGGTATGCGGATGGCGGTTGACGTGGAGGGAGTGGTGCTAAGTCGTTTTTTTTTTTTCGGCATGATGTATGACCATTTTGCTGACATAACGTACTTTGAACGAACTGGTGGGGCTTGGCAGAGGGGACCAGCATCCATACCCAAGGAATCATGACTTAATTCGAAATTTTACTATCCACCAGTATTGCTCTTATTAAAATCCAGAGGTATAGAATTAGTGAGCAGTGTCTTCCAAGCACTTCTATCAAACTATATCTTGCCAAAGATGCGGCTATGGTTGAAAATATTGTACTCGGGTATCGGTTTTCGGACGGTTTCAGGTAGCAAGCACTATACAAGTATTGTAGTACTCGTACGAGGCGTGGGGGTTGTCTTCAACCCAAGCTTCTACCGGGATCGCAGCCACATTCGTTCATCTCACCACATAACGCGGTTCACACTTCATATCCTCGAAAAGAGTACTATTTCAGTGTTATAACTAAATATTGTGCTCAGGGGGAAAAAAACAGACAAACCTGGTAAACACCCTGCGATGACAGCTAACCTGAATCTTTGCCAACCAACCAACAACAATTAGAAATGTTTGGCATAGAGAGCAGAGTTCTAAGTGTAGGCTACTGGCCAGTACTCGAGTACAATTCGACCTCTGGAAACGGCACTGAGGAAGGAATTGGGGGTGAAGATCTTGAGGGCGAATAATCCGCTTAAAGACACCCCCCCACCATATCGAAAAGACCAAAGATAGTTTAGAAGGTAAGATTTGCAACCTAAGATTTATCATACATGCTAGCGGCTCATTGTTCAATTGACTAGACCGTCGAGGCAGGTCAATGGGGGACAAGGGGACTGACAAATGGGCGGGCGAAAACAGTTTGAATTGATCTTTTAACTTGCCGGTATAATCGTATGTAGGTTCAAATGCTGCGGCATATACACGGCGCGCCTGACACCTCAATGCCAGATCTTTCACCGGTCCTTCCTGGGG